AGAGGCTGAGGGAGCTGGGCCTGTTCAGCCTGGAGAAGAGAAGGCTGAGAGGGGATCTAAGTGTCTATAAGTACCTCAAGGGAGGCAGTGAGGAGGATGGTGCTGGCCTCTTTTCACTGGTGGCCACCGACAGAACTAGAGGTAATGGCCACAAACTGAAGCATCAGAAATTCTACATGAACTTAAGGAAAAATTTTTTACCAGTGAGGGTGACAGAGCACTGGAACAGGCTGCCCAGAGAGATTGTGGAGTCTCCTTCTCTGGAGATCTTCAAAACCCGCTTGGATGCAGTCCTGTGCCACGTGCTCTAGGTGACCCTGCGTGTGCAGGGGGGTTGGACTAGATGACCTCTAGAGGTCCCTTCCAACCTTAATGATTCTATGACCTCACTAGGCAGTGGCTGATATTATTGAATAGCATCATGTTGCTTAAAGATTTTCAGACTGCATTTGATACACAAATATTATACAAATTAATAAGTAATATGGTGATTCGTACAACACCCTCTGCTCCCACCCTTCCCCCCAGTGTTGAAATACCACCAGCCACATTATATTTCCCATTAAAAATCCACAACAATACACAGCGCAATACATACATATAAGGCTTGAACATCAACACAAATGCTGCACAAATATCCTATGACATCTACGCAATTCAAGAAGTCCTGTCTTAAGAAATGGATGGTTCTACATAATGCCTGGGACACGCACTGGGCAGATAGAATTGTATCCATTTTTCCCAAGCTTCTGTCCAGGATCTAAACAGGAAGGTGCACCAATGAACATTACCTAATCCACCACAAATTTGTCAAAGTCATCCACAACAGCAAAATAGCAAGTCTGCAGCATTTCTGCAATTATTTTAGTTTGCAAGAATCTCTGAGACCTTGTATAAATTACTTTATGATCTTGATACCTCACTAACCTGAATTTACTGGCACAAAAGTAAATGTCATTCTAGTAACTTACTTGATTTATTCTAAGACTCATTCACGCAAAATCCTACTGACTTAAGCAGGCAGTGGAAGCAAACTACAGAGCTCTTTGAATAAACTCTGCAGATACCTGTCACGCGTGGAACAGACCTGATGTAATATTTCAGTCTTAAGCTTCCAACACGCAGCTGTATTGCTGTTTTTGAGCTTCAGTCCTACACATCTCTTGCTCCTGCTGCTGCCACTCAAAGAATTTCAGATAGCTGAGAAGACATTGCATCTTTTCAAAAACTTGCAGACTGACTTCATTCTCTGAATTACGTAAAAAGTTGTATCTACTTTTGTCAGCATTGCATCACCATGGAAGAAGCCAAAAACTGCAATAGTGTTTCTAATGGCCTTTACCATGTTGATGCTTGGGAGCTGATAACTGACCAAGAAACTGACCAAAAAAATCTTTAAACACTACATTGAGAGTAAGAAATCTGTTGAGGGTGCTAGGAAGTAAACGTGTTGACAGCTCAGCTATTAAAGTTCAACTTGGAATGAGAGGGGATGGAGCTTCCAAAAATAGGCTGCAACAATTACATATATTGCAGATAATAAGAAAGTAACAGAACTGCCAAACCTTCATTCTATTGTACTTATTTTACAACTGCCCATATGTCTGCATAGCAAAAAGAAAGATAGGAAAAAAGTAGTCATTAGCTACATCAAATTATCTCAGCAGTTTTAGACTGAATGATAATAGGTTGAGGTAATCAAAAGAAAGACTTCAGAAATATTGCTCAGGAACCAACACTTGGTTGAATTTTTCACAATGTTCCACAGTCCCTGATGAACAGGGAGGGGAGCAACTAGTTTAGGTGCTAGTGGAAGCAGCAACATACAGATAAGATTCAGAAATCAGTTTCTCCATTTACAGTGTCTGAGATGTTCTGGTAATCTGGTAAAAGAAACCATGAACGCTGTCATCAGGTGGTGTCATTTCATGCCAGTTTTATTCTCTAGGGTCCCCTCCAACATACAAGCAATTTCCAATTCCTATAGACCATATTATACTGATAGCTTTGCATCATATCATGTTTTACATAAAGGCGATTTCAGGGAGCAGAAGAGATACTTCTCACCTTCTCATGGTGATGCTTCTTGAAGCAAAGTTGCCTCTTTAGGACCCCCAATCTACTTAGAGTCTTAAGTACATACTGCACATACTCTGCATATTGCATTTTAAAGACTAGTGAGCACATGTATAAGCTAATGCTTCAGATGTACCCTGACATCACTGTTTTCCACTTGTTGAGAAATTCAGCCTCTGAGACAAGAGGCCAAACCAACCAGAACTGCCAGTATGAGAACTCAGGACAGCCTGACCTGATAAACTGTTTAACGTATAAATACAAGAAGTACGTGATGAAGAACTCAAGTGATAAATAAATATGACTAGCTGTGTCAAGGGATGGAAGATAGAGATTTTTTTTTCCTTTCTAAAAAAAAAAGGGAAAAGGATGAAAGAGCTGAATTTGTAAGACAATAAGGAAGGAGAATTAAAAGGGACTTCTGACATACATTTTCTATCAAGCTCACTGTGAAGCTACTTTAACAACCTTGTCTGAAACACAATTTTCACTTGAAAACAGACAAGAAATGGCTAGTGCCATGATTGCATCCAGTTGCTACACTGAATTCATACTGGGCTTCCAAAGGAAGGTTTCTTGCTGGCTCTGATCCAGTCAGAATTTCCTTGCAATTAGGATGTAGATTTTGACATTCTAGCCTGGCTTCCTGCCTTTAACAGCTCCATTCCCTCAGTTTTTTCTTCCTTGGAGCAAGTTTGGATTGGCAAGGGCCGGGGGGAGGAGAGTTATTTATTTTTTATGGCAGTTTCCCTGCTGCAAGTGCAGCTGGGTGTAAAATTGCCACAGGAGCTCAGAGAACATTTGGCTTTTTATTAACGTTTTCTTCTTAGTCTTCAGTGCTGAAAATTGCGTCCTTGTGTCATTCTTCCTGTTCGGGTGTCGCAGGCAGTCACTGTGGGATGCTGCTGTTCCCCCTCTCCCCTTGCAAAGGGGTCTTTTTCTGAAGGCTGCTGCTGAAGGATGTGGAGACACAGGTCACAGTGAAAACTGTTCTCCTCAGGAGATGACTTTCTGCAGCACAACGTGCCAGCAGCCAATGTCAGGTTTGGGAACTCTTCCCCTGGACTCAAACTAGATGAATGTGTTGCATTGGGCAAATGCATTAAGGGTGGTCTACACATTTCAAGAAACAGGCAAAACAAATAGTAATCCTCTCCACCTCTTTGGTTATGTTGGTCGCTTTCCCTCCTTCCTTTCCTTCTTTCTCTCTAGTAGTTGAGACCTGGGGTCAAGGATCTCTCATGTTAGAGTAAGGAAGCAGAGGTACCAGCAATGCACAGCAGCAGATTCTCTCTTTCTTTTTTGGTATCAAGTGATAATGAGCATATCTCAATCAACATCCTGTTTAGCTGCTTACCTCTGGTCTGAAAGGAACAGCTCACCTACCTGCTTGGCCATTAGCCTATTGAGATGCTTTACAAAAATTCAGTTTGTTAATGCTGTCGCTGTATCTCCTTTTCTTTCCCCTATCAGCTTTGAAAATGGTGTAACCCTTTTTTTCTTTTCTTTCTTGAAGTAAGATATGTAGTATTCCGGGTTGACACAAATGTATAAAAATTTGCTTTTACAATGAAAAAGATGACATAGCAAGACATTTGCCACATTGAATGAAACAAGAAAATATTTAACATCTGCCATCTCAAAGGCTAGAATTGCATGAAAGTGCATTAGCCCAGAATACAGATACCTTGCAAGTAATGAGGAAGATTTATAGAAGCCTATCAAAATATAAGACGTCCATATAAATGACTCCCAACCTGTAAAACTGAATTGTTTTCTCTACATCAATCAAATGATATAAGGTTTTCCAGCTTCTGCTAAGTGCAATAAAATGAGATAGACAGATTTTCCCCCATACAGTCTTTGAACATCAAAGGATAATTACTAATTTGAAAGGATACTAAATGGAACATGGTCTAATAATAGTAAGATTACAAACTGACCCAGAATGTTTAAAAAACTGTAATTTAGCAGTTACCTGAGAAAGTTTTCTTTACTTTTCCCATTGTCTAGGAAAACATAGACTAAGTGAGGTATTTTTTCACATTTCTATTTGAAAAGCAGGTTTACTCTTTCCATGTTTTGAATTGGGACAAAATGATCACAATAGACCAAAAATGAGAGAAGCAAAGTACTTTGGGGGCTTGTTTTTAAATAACACAATTATACAGACATTTTCCCTCCAGTTATAACAAAAATCACAGCACTGTTTTGTATGATCATTTAAAAGCTTAGAGAGGTATACGCATTGAGACTTATTTGAAAATTGGTCCTTACATTACAGCTTTGCTCAGGTTATCGGAGGAATTAATTTGTTCTAGCTTCTCGTTAGTTCTGGGACCTGTTGCTCAGCAAAAATAGTGCAATGGGGCAAATACAGTGACCAAGAATATATGCAAACTCTCAGGTGAACAAAGACCTTGAAGATAATACAGCTTTATTCATGTGTACATTTGAAAAGAATATGAATGCTAACACATGACCACGTGGGAGATAACAGAAGTTACTCAGGCAGCAGAAACAATACCGTGTGCTTTGTGAGTGCTGACAAAGTTCAATGGCAATCTGAAGAAATAACCACCTCATATGAGTAACACCTACTAAGTTGGTGAACAACCCTTATGCTAAAGCTTTAAAACATAAATATTCAGCAAGTGATGAGTAATGAACAAATTAACAGATTAATCTGTGTGCAAGAGGTCAATTCATTATAGAGAGTAAGGGTGCAGCGTACCAAATCAGCTCTGACATAATCAAATAGATATTTATTTTCTGATTCAGCTTTCAATAGACGAGATTCGTCCCTTACAATGCACACTGTACTGCTGGCAAAACAGCAATTTGCTGCCCACCTGACTATGTATCTGCATATCCAAAATCCTGGGGACTTGTGAAAACCCACAGCCAATACCAATATAATCAACACGGTAAGAGAAAACAACATCTTTTTATTCCAAACATATATATTTCCTCCTGTTGCTAAAGCAATACTTTTACAGTTGATAAACCTTTTCCAAGGGCAGGACTCTCAGCTGAAACAGGAACATCCCGTCTTTTTCAAGCAAACACCATAGTGTCACACTCAGTCTATCAGTCTGCTCTAAAACCACTCTCATGCATTTGCAGCAGAAAGGGAGCTGAGCAGGGGCCTGAGCACCCCAAAAACAGAATCAGTGAGGAAACATGAGGAACCAAGAAAGAGTAACCTCCTCCCAGAAGGTGCTATCCAAAGTGTTATATCGTTTAACTGACCTGGGTGCGCTGAGGGCTTTGCAGGATTGAAATAGCAGATGCCTCTGCATTTAAAGATAGTGAATCGCTGGCAAGGTTTGCACATGCAGCCATGGCTAGAACAGCAAGAAATTATACAGAGGAAGATCAAATGGCAGTGGCGGAGATTTTCGAGGAAGTTTGGATGAAGCCCATGTATCCAGCGCCAGGTTCTGGCACTGTCAGACATTTCCACAAACTCAAAAACCCATCCAGAAATTAAACATACCGTAGCTAAACTTCCATTGTTAAGGAAGAACATGAGCAAAACATTGTCTTCTGATCTCGCCTTCTGTTCTTGCAAGAAGCAAACTGTAACTAGAAATGATTCAGATCAAAACCATCCTATCCCTTATTTTCTGTAAAACAACACAATACCCTCAGGATTTGACTGGGTCTAATTTTTTATTCTAATTTCTTTTCTATTTCCTCTCATTACTTCAGGGCTTGAGGATAGCTTTTTATTCTTTTATTCATAAAATATGATTAAAACACACCTAGCTCAAATGTTAAGATGCTGGTGGTTTTGCTATATGAGCTATATAAAACAATAATGAAAAGTACAGAACTTCTTAACTAAAACTCTCCCAGCATGAAACTGCTATTACTTATATTTATTTATTCTCATCAACATGCCAGAAAGCCTTTACTCTTCATATATTTACTCTATACATACTCTTCAATTGTTTGAATAATTCTCAGTAGTCAATTTATACATATTTTACCAGTGAACTAAGTTGCTACAATATTCACAGTTGCCCAATTCATAAAGAAGGCCGTGGACAAAGCAATTTAAATGTTCAGACACAGTATCTATGAAAGCAATTGCAGTATTTAGTCAGATTTATTTCAGTTTTCTGAAAGTCCCCTGAGTTGCACAAATGAGGCAGGGAGGAGGGAAGGGGAAAGAAAGAAAGAAAAAAAAGCTATAAAAACGCACAAGAGATCATAGCAAAAACAAGATGAGTCCTGAATGCTAACACAGCTTCAGACTAACTGGAGTTTAAAGGAATTACAAGCATTATCGTTTCTGCAGAAGGCATCTCTAGCTCCAGCAAGTGATATTAAACCATTGCTGCCCTCGTGCACGAGACCGCGTCACCTCTTCGCATCCACAACAGCTCTCACGTAAAGGCAAACTGCCTCGAGACGAAGCAGGGCAGCACGGATGAGCCACCACCAGCCCCAAGAGCCTCCGGCCAGCAGGTCTCAGGATGGGGAACAGAGAGGGGCTGGCGAGCGCCACACTTGTCTGTAAGAATTTGGGAGCTGCCCCAACTGATTTTCCATATTAAACCACCTATCGGTGCACTCGGCCCAGGCCGGTCTGTGGAAAGAGCAACTTACCCCAGCCAATGCAGAGGTAAAGCCGGAAAATTCTTTGCTCAGAAAAGACGGAAAGCACCAGCAGCGTGTACAGGTACATGCCTTCCACCAGCAACCAGTAGTAGTTTGCAGCCACGCAGTACTGCATCATCACGAAGACCAAACGGCAGCTGAGTGATTCCTGCGGCCAAAGAAAGCACAGGCCCAAATAAGTGCGGCAGGGGTTGAGGAGAAAGAGGCAAACCCAAAGCACCAGTTCACACATTGACTCCTATGCCCTCTTCAAAAAAAAACACCTGCTAAATTCATTGCACACGCATACTGAAAGAACAGAGGTCAGCAACAGGTGCAGATGGGGATTTGGAACAACATTCATCCTTTAAACAAAATGTAAAATTAAATGTTCTATATTTTCTCTCTGTAAACCCTCAATTTTAATTTAGAAAACAGCACATAAAGATGAAAATAGCAGCAACTGAAAGATAGCGTCTATATGAATTGCATTCAGCAAATACTTTAAGTTCCCCAGACATTATAATCTGCAGCTGAGAATTTTTCTATTAAAGAGCAAATATCTCACACCACTATCATGTAAGGCAAAAGACTTTTGTTAGAAGAGCAATATTGCCCAGTGCATCGCATTTAGGCGCAAAAACTCTTTTGACTGGTGTATTACAGAGAGGTGGTCAGCTGGGCTTCAGATAAGTACGAAGCTTAATTACCTAAATCATCCACCAGATCTCATGAAACCTTTCCTGGATAAAGTATGTGCAAAAGCACAAAGCCTAGTCTTTAGGGAAGGAGACAATGGCTGACTAGGTGAATGCTTCCAAATCTTGCATTTAAGATTGGCAGAAAGTAGTACTGTAATACCTATCAACAATATTGCAAACAAGAAGCCAACTGTCATACAAGATTCACTCATGTGGTATTAGTACTTCAGCCTCAGGCAGAGTATCAGAAAAGGATGAATACCAACCACACAACAAAAGAAATACTCTTTATGATCCCAACTTTGTATTTCAGTAGCAAATACTGGACCTGTTTCTTAGAAGCATGCAAATAGTGAAAATCCATTTCTTTGAAGATTCAATTACATTTTGTATAACAAATCTGAAGGGAAAATAGGCATAAAACATGCTTTCATCATATTCACAAAGGAATTGCATATCCTCTCCATTTGATTACAAGTATTTAATTAGCCTGTTCCTCCATGGCTTTTCTAAATGCCTTAAATTTGCATTTTAATCAGACTCTTTCCTCTTTTCCAACATTAACAGTTCATAAAGGTCTCCGACAAATAATTTGATTATTTTATCAGATGGACATCCTTGCCACAGAAGTGCTGACATAGGGCTCTGCTATCACCACTGGAAGAGCTGAATTTGCAGTAAACATGGGCACTTGTATGATGGTCAGAAAGATCAAACTCTTCATGTTCCTTCTACTCAGAAGGGACAATCCCTTCCCGCAGGAAGAGAAATGTCCCATGGCCTCAATTACTTGTCTGCAGCAAGCCCAACGTGGCACTACCACAACTACATACATTAGGCTACAAGATTTAGGGAAAAACTGTGGTCTAAAAACAGTGTTTTGAAGAATGTTCACTGTGCAATATGAAATTACCTGCTGTCATGCAGACACATCACAGTGATGACTCCAGTATCCTGAGAACCATCACAGTGTCTGCCCCTACCTGGAAGGAGATAAGTCCTTCCCACTGGTGCTCCTGTGTAGCTGTGCTGTACATCCATTTCACCACGGAGTCCTTAATGAAGACCGATATGGCACGAAGGATAAAAGAGGTGAAAAGATTCAGGTGAATATAATTCCTGGTGCAATGCAGATGTCTGTAGAAAGGAAGAGTCAATCATCATCCAGTGACTGTGTAAAAGCAGCAAAACCACAGATATGGATGGGGGAGGGAAGGATGAGCTCAGTTGGAAATCAGGAAATGCCACAGGGAATCCCATAACTTGAGAGTGGTTGGGAGGATTTCAAACTTTCTGTAGGAAGAAGCCAATACCAAGAAAAGGTAAAACCTTACCACAGAGGTGAACATTTGCAGGACTGCAGAGAACATCAGTGTGCATGGAAAAATATTTTAAAGCTGGTCTTTTTTAGTAAAGCTTTAAAAATAGTTTAGAGCTTTTCTGAAAGGACCAAACAATTCAAATTTCACATTATGTTGTATCTAATCTATTTGATTGATCTCCGTCTCACTGCACAGGTTTACACTGGCAGGGCTTGGGAACTGATGTGCAGCACAGCTTCAGACAGTGTCCAAGTATCCCTTCCCGCAAAGAAAATATGGGAACGTGTAAACAACCACTTTGACAAGAAACAAAAGTATTCAAATTGCCTTCTGTAAACACCTTTCGTGGAGCTAAAAAGAGCATGATTTTCACCCCTGTATTCAGAATTGAAAACAAAAGACAAAGAAAAATCCTCTTGAATTTCAGCAGCCAGCTGCAAAGACAACAAAATTGCTACTTGTCAGAGAACAGCATATTAAGGGATAGCAAGAAAATATAGTCACGTAAATGACACCCAACGCCAGAATGTTGCCAATATTTTATCAGCTTCACCCACAATCTTTTTTTTTGACCCTAAAAAATACAGGTTACATATTATATAAAGTGTCACTTAACTTGTACTTCAAATGCCTATTTTTACTGTTCTACTTGCTTTTTACTGCTAACTTACTTTACAAGTTACCTGCTTGACACTGAAGATAAAGGAGAACTCCTTTCTGAAGAGCTTAAATAGAACTTCTTGTAAGTCACGAGTCATTTCAAAGTTTACTCATGGCAAGTAATTTTTTTCCTTAACTCAAAACTTGTTTGCTGCTACTCTTGAGAATCAGCATACATTTAAATCTGACTGAACATTAATGTAAATTAGGCAATTGAAGAAAATAGGCTGCAAGTAGTTACTGGGGGTTTCTGCTGTAGTCCTGTAGTCAAGTGATTTCACAGTCACAAAGTTATAGGTCTAATGCAGCTTCCACCCCTGAAATTAGAGATTTTTCTTCCAATATTTTCAGAAGAGGCACAACTAGATTCTAGAGATGTGTTGCTTCCTCTGTTGAATGGTCATCAAAAACAAATATGAAAGTTATTCTACAGTCTAAAAACTTATGAAGGCCTTCAGGCTACGAAAGTGCAGAAGACCAGCATTTTGGCATCACTGAATCAAGTTTCTCTCCCCCATGAGGAGATGGGTGCCAACATCCACTGGGGAGAGGCCAAAAGCAAAGGCTCCAGCCAGAATCCAGTGACTGCAATCAATGTCAGGGATAGAATTACTGGTGAAGGACTACAAAAAAAAATTAAAAAAAAAAAAAAAAAAAAAAAAAAAGAGAGAGAGAGTCTCATGTATGTCATGAGGTGCTTCTGGATAAAGTTGCCCACTGACAATTTACACAGGAAATCACTAAGTATTCAATTGCACAGTTTAGTAACGTCTATGAATCCTCATTTTCCAAGTTGTAAATTCTTATAGAGTTCTTCATTAAGTATGTCATACCTTCTTTCCTTCCCTCCTCTCTCTCTATTTCACATGTAAGTCTTCTCTAGGCCTCACATTACAATTAAATGGCAAAAGCTGCTAAAGAATTTCTCTACTAAAAATCAAGGTATCAAAATTCCCTCTCTCCTGGCAGTCCTCTGTGACAAAGTTGCTCTTCGTTTCCTGCCAAAAATATGCATATGTTTCCTTCAAAAAGTATATGGCTGTGGCCTTTGCACATGGGCTGCTAAAATTACTCAAAAAGTGTCACGGATCAGTGAAACAAGGAGAAAGCACATATCCTGGGAGACATTTGGAGACTTTAAGACCATCTGGTGTTTTGTCAGATAGCTCCCTAAGTTGCACAGGTGCATCACACACCAATCAATGATCATCACATGGCATTAATAGAGTGAGCGCATCTGTACCTTTTTGTAGCAATTTAAAACTTTCTGTCTGGGATACCTAGCCTTATGTTTCTCCACTGGACAGAAGAGGTATAATATGATGCTAAAAGGTATGATACAGAATTAGAAGGCTTGGCTTATTTAATTTGAGAAAATAGAGGCTAAAAGGCCCAACTGATCTCTTTAAATGGGTATAAGGACTTATGAGGGAGGAAAAGAAAGTGTTGCTAACTTGCTTACAGTCAGTTCTTGCATCAGAACTAATGGGCTGGTAATGTGCATTATCGTCACAGAAAAAAGTTTCTTAAGCCTCACTCCAAATAATAGTATTGTGACATAGAAACCTGTGCTGTTTTAAAAGGCAGCCTCAGGAGAAGGAGACTTGATGCCAAGCCAGGAGAAGGACTTGATGACAGAGGAAGCTTCTTTCCACAATAAAATAGGAACATTTGTTTTTATATTTGAACATCAGTCTCCCATCCTCACCACCCTCAAATTCCAAGCAAGTCTGGCTGGAATCAGCAAGAGAGCTATTGCCTTTTTCAAAGGAGGGTGGGAAAAAAATGATGCTGTAGTACAAACTCTTTCTAAGGAAACCTCTGTATAGCACTGGTATATACTCAATTCAAGAAAACTTTAGTCACCGGATTCTAAATTTTGATGGCTACATACACCAGACAATTTGTTGGTGCATACCTGGATGAACCCTGTATGCCACTCTGGCCAGCTGGTAGCAATTTATTTCACACAAAGCTTTCAGGTTTCAAAGTTAGGCTCTGTTCCATATTGCAAAAGAGAGGAGAATTTAGAAAAGTTTTCCAAAAAAAGAAATTGTGTCAAAAATCTATTTCTTCACCAAAACACACCCTGCATGTCAGGGAGTGGAAATGGGACAGATTTAAGTCTATATGCTGTGTAATTCCAGGCACAATGCAAGATGAAAACTTCTATCCTAAACGTTCTCCTGCTTCCCAGATGAGTCCATCTCCAAGGTGATGTCATGAAGGAATGAAGAAATCTCTCTCCTCCCATCTATTGGAAGAAGTGGGTATTTAATTGAAATAAAAAATACCATAACACAATATTCCAATTGATAAAACAGCCTATGTTCCATACATTCATACTGGTAGCTCTACAAAAGTTCAGAAATTTTACTTGAGTTTTGAGAAGAAATGGCCACAGGAAAGAATATAGAGGTAAGAAGGATAGAGGAATACTGAGGAAGGGAAGGAGGGGAGGAAGGGAAAAGTCAAATGTTTTTGAAAAAAAAACAATACTGTTATTTAGAAAATCATAACACCTTGCTCTGCTCTCTTCAGAGTTTCACCAGTTACCTGAATCCAAGAAGAATGGCAGTTGCTATTACAAGGGCAGAGAAGGAAAGAGCATATCCAATGGTGTATATGATGGACAGATTCAGGAGCTGTTCTTCTGGTGCATCCTGAGAGCACAAAAGGGAGAAAAAAAAAAAAAAAAAGAGGGGATGGGAGAAAGACAGAGCTCATGGGCTTCACCTCTCTTCTCCCAGATGCTCTCTAATTTTTCTTAATTATACACAGAAATCATTCTTACTTTCAAAGTTTAAATGCATATATGAAATCAGTCCTCCACTTTTAATATGTTTCAAACAAATAACAGTTTAATCTTAACTCCCCTGCTGCTTGCAGATGTCCACCCAAACACTGGGACGTTGCTGGAGTAGTAGACAAAGTGGCACGATTTTGTCATAAAGCTGGAGAGCAGTGAATTATCGCACAGTCCAACAGATGGCTAGGCAAGAACAGACACCCTAAATCCTGCAGTAAAAGGCAGCAGCGGCAGCGTTTTCAGCCTCATTCACAGCCAGCCACCTCATGCTTGAAAACGACCCCCCTTCTCCAGCTCTGAGTTTAAGCAGCAAAGTGGAGTTTGTGTTCGTGCCCCACACAGCCCCTCTCCCACCTCACCACACTACTTACCCCAGAGGAGCCCCCTGAGCCCCACACCAGCTCATGACCCACACATGGCTGTGTCTGGGGAGAGCAGGTAGGAGCAGGGCTCTCCCCGGGGGCTCCGCTGCAGATGCCACCACTTACACCCCAGCTTGAAAGTGCTGCCCAAAACCTCTGAGGAGAGCAGAACCGTGTGAAAAGCTACACGCAGGTCTGAATTGTGATATGGGTTCGGTGTTGGGCTTTGAGGCCATTTTATATTCTAATTTCCAGCTCTTTTCTGAGCAAATGTCTTTGACTAATCCTTGGGCATTTCTCTCATCTACCTCAAGTGGCTGAGTCTGTGGTTCACTTCCAAGACCTGTGCTGTACAAAGGAATAAACTCCTTGTACATCAGAAATAAGTACATCTGAATAGATGTACTTCGTATAGCCAGAAGGCTTTAAGGTGAACATAAAGGCTGCTGCTCAGGGATTTGCCAGGTTAATGTTTTAAGAGAAAAAAATATCAGAACTGCCTTGTGTAAGAGAAAAGAAAGATCTCTTCAGTATCAAAGCTCAGCCAAACGACTGAGACCTTTTAATTTAAGACATCTCGGCAGATCAAAATGGCATTTTATATTTAAAGAAAATAATGGTCTTTTAGACGGATTCACTCACAAACCCTCAGGCTTGTGCTTCAGCAACTCTTGTATGATAAACAAAGTTAAACGTCAAAACCAATCTCTTGTTCTTATGCACACTAAGTGGCACAAGTAAGTGTGCAAGACACAAGTGATCTGAGGCTCTACATGCATTTCACTGCAAAAAGGAAAACCAAACATGAATGTTTGTATTTCAAGGACTGACATCATGTAGGTTTTCAGCACCAAAATTTAATAGATGCACCACACTGCAGTCCAAATATGAATGTTTGTATTTCAAGGATTGACATCATGTACGTAGGTTTTCAGCACCAAAACCTAATAGATGCACCACACTGCAGTCCAAAGATATAAGGCAGATGCCAAATGACCAGGTGCTGCCATTAGGCATCTGTCTCCTTGGCATCTCTCAGTGTAGCTCTATAAGAAACCATGGTGGCAAAGACTTTGGGGTTAAGATCATGTTCTCCGCTAGGATACTCAAGGATGCGGAAAAGATAAGGAATAAGGCTACAAATTAATGGGAAGAGTTAAATTTAACAAACTCAAAGGAGAAAATAATCTTTTCTCCCATCTCTGGGGTTAGGTCTGCCCTGGAGCATCTCCCAGCAGCCCTAAAGAGCCCCTGTGCACTGCTCTGAGAGCAGCCCAGCTGCTGTGGGGCCATGTGTCATGAGAACGCGTGCAATGCACCAGCTGATGCCAACAGCTTAGGAAAAGCCATGGGAAAGCCCTCCCTCACCCTGGACGTAGTGCCAGGGGTCCTAGCTCACGCCAGAGCACTAGGGCAAGAAAATGGAAATGACAGGGCATTGAATTAATGCAAAAAATAATAATAATAAAACAAACAAACAAAATGCAGCACTTCCAACAGTGAAAAACAAAAATCTTTCATTTCTCTTCATCTTACCTGTCTTGGTAGCCCATTAACAAGACATAAAGAACAGGTAGCAATTTTATATGAGCAACTTTGTACCAGTGGAAGAAAATGCAAAGGACTAGCACAGGGCAAGATTCCTTGGGCAAGACAAAAATGTACGGGCCTTGATATATTTATTTTTCCTCTGTTCTGTTTTATCCAATGACAATGAGGACAACAGGTAGGAACCCTTACCCGATCAGAGGGCTCACACTCAGACAGGTTCCTCCAGGGCAGGGTCGAGTTCTCCTTCAGCAGCCACGTGCCATCGGCGGTGCAGAAGCGGTAGACCTGACCGTGCAGCACTGCCGGGAACCAGAGGGGTAGCAAGGTTAGTGGGACAGCCCCTGCAGAACGGACAGGAGCTCAGCCCGAGCCGCCTTGTCCACTTTCAGCTTCCTTAGTTACTGGTTGGCTCTCTGCTTGTTCCTCATTCCCAGGGCTGGAGCGCGGCAATCCTACGAGCAGCACTGCAAAGGGGTCGGGCAGTGCGCACGCCGGCATGAACTCCAGCCTGCCTGCAACAACACTGAAACGCTGCGATGGGCAGAGGAAACCTCTGTGCGAGTTATACAGCAGCTGCAGATTCCAGTTTGTGAGAATCTTGCATTTAAAAGTCCACAAAGTTTGCAGTCACTCAGCCTCAGCTACAAAACTAACTCACAGGGAAAGGAGAGCACGCAAAGAGTAAATACATTTGCTCATGCACTGCCAGCAACAGAGAAACCTCGCAACAGATACACTACCACAAGCTCCCCAAAATGCAAATGCTTATACAAACATCAGTGCTAGGAAGTGAAGCCATAAATCATAGCCTAAACAACTCTTTCTTTAAATTCCTTCTGTTTACATGTTTGGATAACAAAATCAACAATAAATCAAATGCCTTTCAAAGGCAGCTAGCAGCTTCCCCTTATAAAAGCAGATAAGATGAAATGGCTCATAATAAAATGACATCAGACCGAAGCACCAGAATAAAAGTACTAAGGGTAAGGTGCACTCAACACTAGCATAACAACAGGGAACGCTTGCCCTGGTGGCTGCAGTGCTGGGTAAGTCCAAGGACTCACCTGCCCCCGTAGCATGACACAGATGCAGCAATGACACTGCTGCTTCCCTGACGATGCTCCCCGCTGATTGCACACGTGGCGTGGGAAGTCAGCTGCCTGGGCCAAGGTTAAGAATTTGCTGCAATTCGCTCAATATGCTAAATGTTCATATCTTAAATTTTATTTGAGATGATAAAAAAATAGCATGTTAACTATTTGTACATAAGGTGACAACCACTAATTTGCTTGATGACTCATTGTCCGTGGTAGACTAGCAATCAGAGAGAACGGTGTTTTAAAAAATGATATAGATGGTGAGATGCTAATGAGTCATTTGAAAGCAGGCGGCTAAATGTTACATTTGGTTTTGGTAATCACCGTGTATTTGTAATTGCTGTATTTAAACCAATGTACGTGATACCAGGGTATTTGGTGTATGATGAATTGGTAACTGAGATAACATTAAAAAAGTTTTCCCTGATGAAGTACTTTTCATCCTGTTAAGGATTCCTCTTTGCATATTTTTACACACAATCAGGAGGCAAAATTAGGCCTGTGTTTATAATATATACATTCAAATTTATTAACTACTTTGAATAGTATTTCACTTGCTCTCATTTTTTACTATGAGCACCAGCTACTTCCTTATGCAGGAATGTTGCCATGATGTTAAATGTCTCTTGTGGTAGAGAGCAGTGAATGTGAAAACATCCGTTTTTCATCAAGATTTAATGAATGGCAAGTTGAAGCAACTCATAGAAAGCATCTATGCAAGCATCACAAACAGTTCTAGAGCTGTCAAGACTCACCATAAAATCATGTCGATGAAGAATCTGTAAAGATCATATATAAAAGCCGATCAAGTTGAAATCCAGAGTTTGAAGTCTAAAGGATCACAGGACTTGGAGATTCAGTCTGACTGCCAAGCATGAACTATAACCAAGATGTATTACAAGACTGAATTAAGAAAAACACTCTCTTTCAAAATAAAAAAAAAATCACTGTATTTCTGAAGAGAGATAAATATTGTGTGCTATGGTTGTGGTTTTTCTTTTTCTTTGTTTTTCTTTTCTTCATTTTTCTTTTTTCTTCCTTTAAAGGCTTCTTACTGTCAAGATCTAATAGGGTTGAAAGCTGAGCCTTTAGCACACCTATTTTTCCTCTAAATGAACCAGTGACGCATTTTAATTTTCTTTTTGTTGATAAAATATCTTTTGAAATAATGAGGAGGAAACTGTGCGCTGACACCCGGCCGTGCCCCACACCCCTCCTGGCTCCTCACGATTCCCAGAAGCGTCAGGCCAACAGTCGCTATCCTCTCACCCTCCATGCTGGGCTCCCTCGCAGACAGGCACCCACCTCCTCTCAGACAAGAAGAGGTTGCTCATGACCAGAGGTCGCTAATATTGCTAAGGACTAAGAGCTCCTAGAGATGTTACCTCAGCAGGACGCGCTCTCCTAGTGTCCCTGCCTCTCCTTGGAGAGGGGCATGAAGAGCAATCGCGGTGCCAGGCTCTGCCCTGGAGCGTCTCCAGCAGAGCTCATAAAAACCCTAAGAGGAGATTTTTGGGTCGTGTTTTCAAATGAGCTTTTGCTTCACATCAGTAACAATACTGGCACTAAGTTCTCATCTTTGCTCAGTGGAAGCACTTCTGATTCTTCTTCTGATTTTAAAGGAATCTACCGGATTTTTAATCAGGGATATTTAATGCAATATTGGCTTTGATCCAAGCAGTGCCAAAATATTTTATCACTCTTACCTGGTCAGAGTAAAGCATACAGCTTGCATAAAAGATATCTACAAATGTTCTCATAAACATAACTTTTGCATAGACTTAATACTGCTCCCTGCCTACACGGCTGGTCATGCCTTAGGAAGCCAAAGATCTTACAGGTTCTAAATAAAGAGATAGAAATTTATATACCTCTGTGTAGAGATTCTATTATACATCTATATGAATGTATATACAAATTACACATAACATTTACTTTTCTTTTTGCCATGGATCTGATCCAAAGATCACTGAAGTCAAAGTAAGTCAAGAACAGCAAGACCTTTGGATGAGGTCTTTGCTCAAAAAAGGAGAGCACATGGAGGAAAATTAACAATCCCATGCTCAGGAGTTGCCCAAGTGCCATGACAGAGCAGAGGCATGAGCATGGGCAGCTTCCCCATCGGCTGTTGCCTACCTGCAGGCAGCGGCTGAGACAGATGATCCAAGTTTGCCCATGCCTGACTCGTGCACAGCAACTCAGGCCCTCCTGCCTTTAACACGACTCGTCTCACACCTTGTTACACTCTAAACTTAGGGATCATCCTGACAGCCAAAACAAGTCTGTGACCGGCACATTGAGGATCTGATTTTGTTCAACCTGCATGGCTGGACGCATCTGCTTAGGAAGTTGTACACCTATTTTAACAGGAACACAGTGAAGCTGGTTTATCTGAACAGCGCCAACCACACCGCGCTAGAATTACATGCTAGAACGTAGATTGATGCCCAGAACTCAGACAGCTTCTGTAAACCGATAAAAAACAGCAAAGAGACCAAGAGTTAGCACTGGAGTTAATGTCACCGTCCATCTTCTTTAATGTCACCATCTATCTTCTTATTGAATGAGCTTGTAAATCACATCAAACACTACCTCTAGCTAAACACTTTTATATACAGGAAAATACGCCATCACATGGCAGGAGAACATTTCATTACTAGCCCTATTTTACTATAAAGAAACCAAATTAAGTGATTTCTCTGCTTAAAGCAGTTAACTTACTTGGCATTTTACTACAGCAGGGTATGAAGGCTGGTGTGAGATTACTCACCCAACCATCCTTACGGATGAACTGGAACATGATTCATCATAAAATCGAGTTACAGAATATCCTATCCAATCACTTTTATCTAGACTGAGATGAGAGAACAGGAAAAACAACAGGAGAGACGGGAGTTCTCTCTTGCCACTGTGTGCCAAGCACTACAAACCTCTCCTCAAGAGAAACGTTCTGGAGAAGGTAGCAATTTTCTCTTTAAAGCAGTGACTTTGTAGTATATGAGCATCACAGCAGTGTCCAGCCAGGCCGGTTTGCTCCTTAACCCAGGGAGAAGGATATGAACGGAGGAGCTCTCACTTCCCACCAAGAGCTCTACTCAGTTACCATCTGGTGTGGCCAGGGCACTGCTTTCCAGTGGGCAGTTTTCCAGGTCCTGTTTTCCTCCCTTGGGAGCAGGAGGGTCTGCAATCTGCACTACTGTCCAGGAACCACATTCATCTAAATGTGAGTTCACGCTGGGCTCATTGCCACATCATCTGAAATCAGCAGATTATCTGATAAACTGATCATCAGATTAACATGAAATATTTCATATCTCTCCCGCTATTCCTCCTCTTCCTCCTCCATCGCCTATTAGTCATCACGACTAATACTTGCTCTAGTGACAATAAGATGATGACAAACAGGTACAGTTTGCATTTTGTCTTGAAAGCAGATAGGTTTGTGGCCACTTCAAGTTCTTGCAGCAGAGACAATTAAGATTAGGCTGAACAAACTCTGATTTTCAAATATGTTCTACAGGCCAGGCGAGAGAGGTGGGGGAAATGGATCACAGCCAGATCTAGTGAGAATACTCCTATCACTAATTTCTAGTTTAAAAGACCCCAGAATCCCTCCTGGTTCTTCCAAAAAAGAGAATAATAAAAAAATACTTTATTGGATGAGAGTGACAAGGGGTCACAGACTCACACTCCATCCAAGAGATGTAGGGCAGCTTACACAGACCTAACTGAGATGCTTTTATAATGTGCAACTTAAGAAGCAGGGAAATCTCATTAAGCAACCACTGCTTAATTGAGCATTGCTTAACTGCAAGCTGCAGAAGCTCATCTATGTTTCCAGGAAGTTCTCAGTGTCTGAAGCTTCTGCTGTGCAAGTGTGAAGTCAGAGACTCTTCACACGGAGGTGATGTCTGGCCTACTTAGGGATTGCTACTATTGCATACAAATACTTATTTAAAATATTTTTTGGAATGATATCAAGGTTACAAAGCTAAACATTCAAAAGTTAGGAAGTGCTAAGCTAAAGCTGCTTGTGTCATTTTTAATTCCACCCTTAACACTGTTTCTACTTGCACGGTCATATATTTTTCCAGTAGAATTGACTGTTTCATTCAGGGTACAGAATAGAAGGAAGTCATTTAATTGGAAATTACTCATCCTTATCAGTGCAAGATGTCAAGTCACATTTAAGCACAGTGAAC